ACAGCTGGGGATTATTGTTTAATTGTACATTTCTTTAGAGAAAATAATAACAAAATGCACCATCACACAGAAAAACTTTAAACACTTAACAGTTGTTCCCTGGGGGAGCAGTTACCAGGGGCAGATCCTGGAATTCTTTTAATTGGCATGGTCCAATCTTTAATTCAGAAAACATGGTTGGAAAGTCATTTGCGGCAAATTACGTCATCCCTCATAGTATGGTACCTCCAGCCTCCTCCCCACTTGCAGCTATACACTTTAATCATTTGATATCAGTTTCCTTACTCCCTTACCATGTAGATGAATTCTACTCATAAAGGATGCACCCTTGGAACATCCATCCCTCCTATTGTGCATGGTAACAAAGGCTTTACTGAAGATGTCAATGCCAATGTTAAGGTCTAGCCTGCGATCAAGCTATACTGGGCACTCTGGCAGTGGGGAGGGAAAAGGAAGGAGAGCCTGCAACTGCGTCTCTGGAATTTTAATATCTGCATCAAAAAAGTTGATGCAAAATGCTGATTGGCGGAGATGACATTAGTAATGACATCATTACCCTTGGCCTGTGCTTTCATGTGTTTTTCAACATTTTTCTACATTATTTTGTGCTTGTTATAAATGCTTCACGCTGATTGGCGGAAATCTGACAGCTCAGTCGGCATGGGGGTCACAGGGGAATTGGAGGTGGATTCCAGAGACATAGTTGTTGTCTATAATATTATTATAGACCAATATTTGGGTGTATCGAAATTCATACTTGGCACTAGAGCTTGGGGGAATAAAACAAAGAAAAATGTTGTAAGACAGGGATGAGTAATAAACTTCCATAATTTTACTTCCCCAAGGGTTAAAGTAAAGTATGAATTCGATTAATAACAAATGGAAAATTGGCCTATTTTGAAACAATGTACCCCACCCCCACCCCACCCCCACATGTCTCCCAGCCTGCCTGAAAAGTACAAAGGTTGTTGCGATCTTGCAGCCTGCACGTTAAAAAAAAAGAATGATGAAACTATACCCTTACCTTTCCTCTCTGTATGAAACCAAAGTCAAACGAAAAAATCATTTACACTTTGTGGCAACATTTTACAATCCGAATAAACGATGAACGCACAAATCCCAGTCGAACTTTGGACAGGCCACTGCGTTGGCACAACAACTACATCAATTGCGGGGTCTATTTCAAAGCCGATCGCTTCCATTTTCCTAAGTGAAGAACATTTCCTAACCTTAGACAAGGAGGTTTGAAATTTGTATTCATTTCCCCCTTGAAATGTTAAGATCAGTCAGAAACTACACGCAGCCTACGGTCTAAACTTTTTGAGGATGTAAATTCCCATCACGGACAACACATCCGTTTTGTGGAAACGAGGCTCAAAGGCGCCAAAATGAAAACTAGTTGCCAGTCCCCTACACAGAAGCCGTAAAAACCACTGAAAAATAAAGAGATAAAACTCCCTAGAATCTCTGAATGTTTTATTAGGCGAATAAGTGATTCAAACAATCCATTTCAGATTTCACAAATCATTACTCTTGGTATTTCATGTAGGCTGGACTTAAAATACGAATTCGGGGAATAAGAGGTCAGGAGTAGTTTTTTAACCCCGCTTTTAACCACCTGGCCCCAGTTGTTCAAAGAGGTCTTCAAAAGGTGGATAGCGCTATCCACCGGATAAATCTCTATCCAGTGGATAACGCAATTGATTTCCCTAATTAGTAATACTTATCCACTAGATAGCGATTTATCCGGTGGATAGCGCTACGTAACGTTTGAACAACCTAAATCAGGTGTGGCTGATCACATATGTATTGTCAAATTTTCTATCTGCTGTTCTGTTCTATCTGCTGATTAGGAATTAATTTTACTATAAAGTCAAGACTCTGATTCCAAATATTACCCAGTTACCTATAAACGGTTTGATCAAAGAACTGATGAACTCTTCTCATTACTTTATCAATATACAATTCATAAAATGTTTCCACTTGTTTTGATGTTCGTGACAAATTATCACCAAAGTAACGTAATTGCCCTGTGTTGTAATTTTGATTCCTAAAAATAGCTTTTGCAATACTGTATGTGCTTGTATAGCCTGCGAAGCGCAGACGCATTTCCGGTCGTCGCTTCTCTCCCTCCGAGAAGCGACGACCGGAAATGCGTCTGTGCTTCGCAGGCTAGTGCTTGTATGGTCATGCAAATAAAGCTCGTTGTTGTCGTTGTTGTTGCTATTAATCTCTAAGAAAGATCTCACTCTCACGTTAATACAAACACTCAAGTGTTATTTCTAAGAGCGAGGCAGAAAAGGAAGCTGAGTGAGATTATTGCACAAGGAGAGGCGCAGCAAGGATGGGAGACTATATGGACGTTTTCAGCGACGCATGTCGACCGGAAGTGGACTTTTCGCAATGGGCAGTGGTCTTTCCCAAATTTTCTACCAGATCGTTTCTATAAGAGTAAAGATACTTAGCAATGGAAATTTGGTAGCGTCAAGGCAGGTATAGCTCCCGCTACTGTATTAATTTTAAAATTTGGTACTCAAGATTTTACTGATCCACGTCTACTAAAGATCCGGCTGAACCTCACTGGTTTGTCTTTGTGGTTTTGCCTTCTCAAGTGTTTCAGGTGAAAGGGAACCGCCTCACTTCCGGTTAACGTCCGTTGCTGAAAATTGTCTTTGCTTAAACTCCCTAATTGCGCGTTCGTGTCACGTATTTCGAGGGGAAGTAAACTGTTCACAGTCCTCTATTTTTCCGTAAGATCATCGAGATCGAGCGCTTCACGTTACGGGCTGCCATCTTGCTAGTCTGCTACACAGCCGTTTTTAGTGTCGTCACGCAATGCTGTGTAGCAGACTACCATCTTGCATGAGTGTCAAAACTACTTAGAGCTAAATCCCCGACGCCCGCCCCCTCGGTACATTTGAAAATCAAGATGGCCGTCATTAACGGTAAGACGCGCTATATCTAAACGATCTCACGAAAAAATAGGGGACTGTGAACAGTCTAGAGGGCAAGGTAACCTGCGATCAGGCGGTCCTTCTTCCCTTTTATTAAAAACGCCTGATCGCAGGTTAAGAGCACGGCTATTTCTCGCCATAGTAACGTCTAAGAGTTAAGTTTAGATAGAAAAGAAATATAGATAGTAATGAACTACAAACCAAAGTATGGCCGAGAATTCAGTGACTGCGGTTCTTTAATTTTATTTCACCAAGTACAAAACTACTTACATATTGTACAAAATTGATAACATACATTTGTTTTTCGTTTTTTTATATACAAATGTTTTTTAGCTGTAAAAGCTTCAGCCACCAAGAAGGAATTGTAACTGTTACTGTCTGGTAGATGACACCTGTCAACAACAGCCAAAAATATAAAGAAGTCTTTTCTTATGCG